AGCAAGGCCATGGCGCTTAAGCGCACCCAGGCGGAGATCAAGGCGTTACGGTACCAGCGTCGCCAGCAGCTCAAACGCGCGATTGCCAGCGCCTCGATAGCTGGCTTCGCGCTCGAAAGCAGAGCCGCCAGCGAGAGAGCACCGCGAGCCCATTGCTGATGACGCGCGCGCAGTCGCTGGAGTCCTTGGGGAGCAGCCCGGCTGGCGTCACCCCGATGGCCCTGCCGCTTGCCGCAGCCTTTGGGGGCATGCTGCCGGTAGTCTCGGCCACAGCGAAAAACGATTTGCCCTCGAGGTCTGCACGGATTATGGTGCCCCGCACGGCCCTGCGATCTGTCATCAGCGGGGAGCTCGATCTGTGCACGCAGTGCGCGTCGACTGGCGACTCCCTGCTGCCGTGCAGTGGTTGTGGCGACAGGTACCACAGTTTTTGTGCGCCGCCACCGCTGTCGGCATCCTGTCGCCTGCTGCTGTGCCCCTTGTGTCGTGTGTGCTCGAGCTGCATGGATGACCGGCTTGCGGACGATCTGCTGCAGTGCGACGACTGCGGCCTTTTGATGCACGCGCAATGCAGCAGCCAGGAGACCGAGCACCCGGAGGGCCTCTCTGGCCTGGTTTCTGAGAGCGGTGGTCGCTGGGTCTGCGACAAGTGCGTGCATTGCCTCGAGTGCGACTTCAAGATGACAACGACGAGCTCGGACTCTGACGAGCTTTTTCAGGAGCGGCGGCGGTGGAACTACGACTACACGCTGTGCGGCAGCTGTGCCCCGCAAATCGAAAAGGCCAAGGTGTGTCCGCAGTGCGTGGCCACGTACTCCAACTGCAAGATGGGCACCAACATGGTGTGCTGCGATATCTGCGCTTTTTGGATCCACACGGACTGCGATCCAGGGCTGACCCCCGATGTCTACGACGCGCTGATCACCCTCGAAGACGACGCGCCATATGTGTGTCCGACGTGCGCGGCCATGGCTGACGGGGGACACTCCCGTGAGCTGCTCGGCGACCCGGCCACCAGGCTGCCGCGCTGCCTGCTGACGGCCAGCCCTGAGACCAGAGCACAGACTAACAGGCTTAAATCCTGCTTTGATGTAAAAACTGCGGCAAAGACTGAGACTGAGGTCGCCAATATGCTTCTGAGCTTGACTCATTCTGACGTGCGCTTTGGCCGCGACTGCTTTGACACCGAGGCCCTGGAAACGCGATTTTGTACGGCGGCTCAGGACTGGCGTCAATGTGCCCTCTGTGCGCTGCATGGCGACGGGACCCATAAGCAGAAGCCGTCACTCGGCCGGCTCATTCCGTTGGGCTCGTCCTCCGATGAGGAGGCCAGTTGTCACTGGGTGCATGTCGAGTGCCTGGCCTGGGCCTGGGGCCCGCGCTCTGTTTCGCTTAGCGACCAGAGCAGCCTGACAATGGTTCGCTTCGAGGGTGTTCTGCTAGATACCGACAATGGGACGGAGCTGGCATGTACATTGTGCGCTCGTCCGGGGGCTTCCTTCCATTGCTGCGCCCCGGTGCCGTGCCCCGATGCCGCCTACCATTTGCCCTGCCTTTTGCTTGCCGGGAGCCCGTCTCTGTGTGCGCACGAAGAGGAACCGCAGTACTGTGCTGGATGGCGCCGTGCCTTGTGCCCCTCCCATGCGCCGATATTTTCGGCAATGATGCCTGCTGACGGAACCGTCGAGTGTGTATCTTACGACAGTGTGCGTGTCGAAGGGTGTCTTACTAATTTAAATCCTGGATTGCCTCCTGCCTCGCAATTCATGACTAAAGTCGGCGGCACTGTGATGCTGGATTGTGGCAACTCTGGGCTCCGCTGCTTGCGGTATTTCGAGCTGGCTGGAGCCCGGTATACCCTTGGACTAGCTGTTAATGAGGATGAGTTGCCAGGCCAGATATGGCAGGGATGGGTTATAGAGGGCATGCCTGTGGATTTTGATAATACTAGGTTCCCTGATGCCACGCATTGGTCTGCGACTATGTCTGCGCTGTTGACACAATTATTGGCCACTATTCGTTTGTCGCACCCAGCTTTGTCTTTTATCACAGCTGTTGCGTCAGCTTATCCGCACAAATTTGTGAACGTTCCGGTTACTACCTGCGCTGCTGATGGCGGTAGAGTTGCGGATGGTGCTAATGAGGTTACTGACATACTGTCACCTTCCTGCACAGTTGATGTGGCCACCTGTCCTGCCAATTCCATATTATAAGACATTATTTTTCTTGTTTTTTATTGTATGTGTTAAAGGAAAATAATATATTTATATTTTAAACAATAATAGATAACTTAATTTTGTACTTGCTGTTTCTGAGAAAAATAAATAAATAGATTTTTAACGGGGTTTATATTAAAGTTTGTCAATATAAATAGAGAAACAGATGTAGACGTGGTAGCGTAACTACTGCGCGAGAACTAAGAAAATAGAAATGCTTTTGTTTGACGACGTTCACCACCACCGTTCTATTTCTCCTCAGCTGCCGGATAATCGAAAACTCCAAATACGAAATAGAGCGAGAGCCGCACCAATCCGGAAACATAGCCCGATCGAGGCATTTCATTTATTATGTATCCATAAAAATAAGCAAAAAGACAAGTAATCCACGATTTGTGGATTACTTGAACCTGGTTGATGGGGCTTCCGTGGATTGAACACGGGACCTTACGATCTTCAGTCGTACGCTACTCCCAACTGAGCTAAAGCCCCTAATCTAACAGCAGTACCAACTATTAATACATATGCTGAAACACGCAACTCAACCGCCCCAGGCGCTTGTTTGCCTCCGACAGTGCGCCGGGTGCGCTGGGTGCGCTGGGTGCGCTGGGTGCGCTGGGTGCGCTGGGTGCGCTGGGTGCGCTGGGTGCGCTGGGTGCGCTGGGTTGGCTTAAATGCATGCCAGGCAGGTGGTAGCAAGTTGAATCAATTTGAAAACTATGTTTTAATGTGATGCGGGCTGTGGAAAATGAGCAATAGTGCAGCTATTAATCACTCGACACAAATCTGGCCAGTTTTACCATCATACACCTTTGGGTTGCAAATATGTTGTAGCCGCATATCGAGTCAGCACTTTATAATATGCCAACTGTGTAAAACCAGCAGCCATGCCACACGAGTTCTCGGTCTTTGCTACACTTGGTTGTAGTTTACAGCCAAGAAAATAAAGTTGAATCCATCTAGTCAAAATAAATATAGCCTGTTAATTATTCACATCTGTTGTCTCTAGTGGATGCCAAAACAACAATGCGCGCCTTGCCACTTGCCTAAAAAATAAAACAGCATGCCAGTTTTTTCTTTTCAAAACGTCATTCAACGTCCAGTAAAAAAATTATAGTGTTGTATATAAAGCAAAACACGTGTCTGCCAAATTCTTTCCTTAGTTAGTTTTTCGTTTGCTTCAATATAATGATAATCACGTTTTATTGTTTTTGCCTCGAGATAAACATAACAATATCAACCTGCTGTTAATGTAGCTGTGGCTGCGGCTATGGAAATGGAAATGGTTAGGTTGAAGTTTCACATGAAACTGATAAAGCCATTTTTAGTAAATAAATAACAAATTACTATTTTCATGTTTATTATTCACTTTTTAATTTCCTCTTATTGTAATACATATTTATACCACAAGAATGCCTGTACCAAATTCAACTCGTTCGGCAGCACAAACCTATAGTTTCCTCCAGCAAGCGGCACACACAACATGTTAATCACCAGCTGCAGCAAAAGTATCCAGCAAAAAGACCAGCACACCTCTAGCTTCTAAAACAACAAGCCTGTCGCCTAAAAAGTCCACAAGTATAGAAGGCCCTTCTCAACAAGCTGCAGGCTTAAAATGAAAAATGCTGCCTGTGTCCAGCACTCCCAGAAATACTATTACAGCGGCAGCTTTTAAAACAGCTTTTTTTTACCCAAAAGAAAACCCCGAGCGCCGTGCAGACTACTCAACAAACTGCGGGTTTAAAAAGAACATGATGCCTGTGCCCACTGCGCCTGGTAAATCCACCACCACACCATTAGCTTTGAGAATGGCAAATGTGGCACCCAGGCATGGCATTTCCAACAATACTGCTAAAAGAATACCAGCCTTTAAACTGGAAAACTTGGCGTTTAATAAATTCCCGAATGCCTTTCATTCTTCCCAGAAAATTATAGGCTTCAAAAATAATTCACCACCTATGCCAACCACACCCAACAAAAATTCTGCTTGGCCCAGTACACCTTGCCGCTCCACCAAAGAAAGCAGATGCAATTGCCGTTCATGTATATAATGTTATAAAGATAGATAATAGCGGGAGGAAAGTAGATATAATAATTACATATGTAATTAATGTCCCAAAGACTGCTACTGTTAGGCACTTGGAAGACGAATTCACAAATGTGTATCTCAAGAGTGACAAGTCTCAGCTTACTAACAGCCGGTATAATAATAAATCATGGCCGCCGACCAAGCTGCTAGCTGATTTTTTAAGCCCGGTGGCTTGGCACTTTACCTTGAGCTTGGTAGAACTGCAGAGTTTTCAAATGTGACAAAAAACTGAATGGAGCATACCTCCCTTGCCACGCCGGCAGATTTGAATATATATATATAATTGTTTATATGTCGTTTTAGTTTTGTTTCTCGTTTGATTTATTTTGTTTGTTACTTTTATTTGCTTTATTAAATGGTTGTGCATAGTTCTAAAATTTTATTATACTTCACATTGCACTGCCTTGATTCACAAACATGTCAACATTAATAGAACATTTTAATTATATTAAAAATGCCAAGTGTGTTCATTTTATATTTTTTGAATGCACAATTAGTGCTATAAAAATACAAGCATTTGCACACTTGTTTGCCGCTTTACTTATTTGTAGTTGCAAAGCTTGCATATTTGTTTTTAAAACGCATTAGAACACACAACCTGTATTATTTTCATTACACTATGAGTTCACCACATTATTTGTCGTTTTTACTCGGCCTATCAGGCATGGTTGTCAATACACCGCTGGCAATTGTAAAACTAAATTCAATACTTGCAAAGCCCGGGAATACCTTTTCATCTGGACTATCCACAACATATTATATCATCACATAGACACAGGAGTGCTACTGTTGTAGACAAGCAAGTTTTTTGGCGCGAGTATTTCTCAATTGTAGCAAGCTTGAGATTGAAAACAACAAATATCACAATGGCACAAGGTATTTGCGATTTAATTAATGAATAACTAAAAGTCATTTGTTTCAAGATTTAAAGTGGAACGCCAAACAAATTGGCTTGCCAAATAAAACCGGATTAAACACGACAGCAAATTACAAACAGGTTGATGAATATCTTGATATGTAAAAAAGTATTTATTCTAAATAACTAACAATAACAAAGTGTATAAACTATAGTGGCATCTGACCGTCTCGGCTTGACTTGTACACGCGCATTTGTCTTGTTCAAAATTCCAATATTCCAATAGCCCATTGATGTGCATATAAACCTCAACTACTTTTGGTTTACTTGGTGAAAACTGAATACATGCAGGTGTCTAGTTGTGCTGAATGCACATTATTTAATTGTAATATTGAAAACATGTTTGTCGTTTTCAAAAGTTAATTTCTCACAAACCACCCCTAGCTCCTTCAATGTTTTTGTCCTTTCCATAGACGCAAGTAAGACCTCTTTTGTTTTATTTTTTTTGTTCGTGATAGATACTCCCGGAATTTTTACATTTACATGTATCTTTTCTGTATACCCCAATGCTCTTAGCTTGTTTATAAAATCGTTTACGGTACTAGTCGATTGAATAGTTTCTTTTAATTGAGTCATTATAAATATAAAAAATATGAAAACAATATAATAACTGATAAAAAGCAATGCAAACAAAATAATTATGTTGCAAGCTGGACACTTTTGAACTACTTTATATACAAGCAAAATGGTTATCACTCTTTAAAGCACTGCTTTTATTTTTTATTTGCAAAAAATAAAACGTATTAAATTATTGCTCAACAAAAAAGAATATCGGCTGTTTGCAAACATAGGACTGCAAATCCTCATAGCGGTTATTTTGCGTTCCATCGGATGTACTCCCTTCTTTGCAAGTCTGACCAACAAATAAAAGAAGTGCTCTTTTCAAACAAAAAGTAAGTAGAGCATGGTAAAGATACAGCACATTGGCCATAGACGTCAGTGAGAAAAAAAGCAAAAGTCGCCAATCTTGAGTGGATGGATACTCCGCAAGGTGGGCATCTGAAAAGGGATTCTCTATAAAGGCTGAAAGAGATTATGCTGCTTGGGACAGGTTGCAAAGGATGTAGTATCGCAAATATTGCCGACAACTTGACGACGTCGCATGAAAATAAAACAGCTGCTGGCAGAACGCACGACCAAAATGCACAAGTGACCACTGGTCATGCGAGGACAATCTGCGGAGTTTGTAAAACCAAGTCACAAGTTGAACAGATACTGGGACTGCGGCAAGATGAAGAGGATGGGGGTTTGCGTGGAGCGAAAAACGGACCGTCGCCGAGGACCCGCTCGCCGTAGTCAGTTGGACATTGATTGCCAGCAATAATGACGCATCCAACCGCACATCAGACATGCAACCACCTTTGTGCAAATAATTGGTCTGGAAAATTGTGAGACACTGACGGGCAAAAAGCGCAGTTTTGCTGTTGGTCGAGTAAATGAGCCTTATTAGTTTTAGTTGACCATTGATTGCACCGGTTCTCCATTTGTATGATTTTTCATAGCTTGGTTTGACAATAAACATTGTTTTCTATTCATATTTTGGCATCAATGTTGGTCGATAAATATTGTCAATTTAATTTTTATATAAAAACATTTGAAACGCAAACAAAAATGATACAAATGATTCGTGTTTTCAAATTACAGCAGCGATGTGTGTTTAAAACCCGGACCTGGCATTGTCCTTGACAAGCTTGTTGTGGTACGCAGCGTTGTCTTTGGCCTCCATGCTCTTGTTGCCAATGGCCTGGCCAACCTTTTCCTTGGCAGTGCCGCCGACATTGTTAGCAGAGTCGCCGGCGCGGTGCATGTTAGGGGTTTCCTCCTCACGACGAGTCTGAGTCTCCCGCATATTCTGCTTGCCCTCGCCCTCGGCCCACTGCTCGCGGCCCTTGTCAGCGAGATCCTTGTTGCCCACCATGCTTCCAATGGTATCCTTAATGGCGCCGGCAGTCTGCTTGTAAAGGTTGGACATGATAATAGAAATGAATAAATGAGATTATTTAGTTTGTTTGTTGAAAAATGGGGCTGTAGTTAAGAAAAGTAGTTGCTGGTTTTTAAGAGCAGTGAATGACGCCTTAGCAAAGTTTTTTAGTACCGCTGTCCAATTACAAGTCCGGCCAGAGATTTTTGGGCATACCAACGTTTGAATTTGTGTACGGCATCGGCTGCTTCAAAGAGTATAAAAGAGCAGCTGCCGCCAGCATATCTATTTTGACAATTGTGTCTGCCACTCCGTCTTATACATTTGGCATCTTTTATTTTAATTTTTGGACCTGGTGGCTGAGTTATTTCTTTTGAGCAGGCAAATACCTGCTGCGGAAAATCATTGGATGGACGAAAAAGCATGCCAAATAAATTGTGCTTTGTTGCGTATTCTATCTTGGGTCCATTTGTCGGGACCAGCACACACGAACGTCCTAGGTCTTTTGGAAATCCCTTTTTGCGGCTGCTGAGCGATGATATCAAATTGCAACACATATGCTACAAGATTGCCTGTAACCAAAATATTGGTGACAAGCAACATGAATTGGCAATCAGCTCTGACAGCAACTGTAGAAATGCCAAGCTCAATATTCGGTCTTTTACACTCATGTGTGTGCTCGCTCGCTCGCCCAAATTGTGTTTGTTATCGTGTTGACCGCTTTATTTTTTGTGTACTTTATTCTCTGTTGTAGGTCAAGCGCAAGGTTCACGTTTTATGTTGAGACTCGCGGTTCAAGTTGGCTTTTTCAATATTTTCAATTGTTCGCAATTAATACTCCATTTTGATTAACGCTTCAATTTACACATTCTAATTTATATTACCGCCGCCGACGGACAGGAGTGCTTAGGGGCTAGTTGCGTTTCCAAAACAGTGTGGCGACGTCGCCAACCATATCGGGTAGGTTCTCCCGAATGGCGTGGCCGGCAGCTGGCAGAAGCTCCAGCTGGAATTCGCCCTGCATTTGCGCAATCAGCAGCTCCTTATCCAGCCTGTCCAACCCAGCAAGAATCAGCAGCTTGGCAGTCTGCGCACTGACAAACGTCTTTGACAGCCCCGTGTACCATCCTCGCCAACACTGTTTTGTGGGCATCGACTGCGTTTTCCACGACCATCTGCTGCCATTCTGCACGATGAGTAACGGCACAGACCCGAGACTCTGGGTGGCTCCTGGGTCAATGTCTGAATGAATTGCACTCAATACGGGTGCAAAATACCGCGGCCTGGCGGGAATAAAAAGACAGAATGACATGCAGCGAGTCCAGAGCCGTGCCTTTGACAATATCGATAAGAACCAGGCTGCGGATTGGCAAGAGTCTTCTTGGTGCCGTGGCATGCGCCATGACCGCACCGCCCATGCTGTGCCCAGATAGAATGGTGTCTTGCCCAGAATGTTTGCCGAGCACTGCACGGCTAATCTTAATGTAGTCGGGCATCAGATGGTTCAGACTAAGATTCTGGTGCTCGCTTGTAGTAGATATGTGGCCGCGAGCATTGGGCGCTATGGCTGTCGCCTGGGCCACGGGCTGGCGGATGTGCTTGCACACTAGGCCAAACGTCAAAACACGAGTGTCCGACACATGGGAAAACATAAAGATGAGGCTGCCAGTGTGCAGAAGCCCGCTGTCATATACATTAAAGTGAGCGTTTCCTTATATGTCTGTTTGCTGTTGCGCTTCAAAGTAGTCAATCTAGGAAAGTAGCTAATACTGATCTCAAGCCGTGGATCTTTTTTGCGTTGGCACTGCACGCTTTTTCCACGAACGGCGAGAGCTGCATGCCGCGCACTCTAAACATGCTCTGCCAGAGGTCGATATTCATATTCGCATCCGCCAGGCAATACGTTGGTATGGAGTTTAAACATTTTAAGGCAGTAAGCGCGCGTTGAGTAAACTTTATCGACAAAAAACAAGCAAGGGCAAACCACCAACATGCATGTTGGATATGTCTCAGATATACCAGTATCAACAAGTGAGCTAATAGCTTGCTAATAATCAAGTCAGTTTGGCCGAGTGGTTAAGGCGACAGACTAGAAATCTGTTGGGCGCTGCCCGCACAGGTTCAAATCCTGTAGCTGACGATTAATTCTTTTTTGCTCTGCCGCTAATCCCTTGTTGTGCTCCGCTGTTTTTCATCCAGACCCTGTGTCTGCTTGCTCTCTCTTTTTCTGCTTCTTTTTAAAAGTAATCAGCTTAATGGATAAAATAGTGCTTGTGTTGCTTGTCTGAGCGTGCACATGCACATCTTTTAAACTCAGCCGCTGTCGTGAGCACACTCTTTTTGTGGCCACGCTCAAATAATTGCATAGATTCAAATTCCCCATTAGCTGGTAAGGTGTCCCCCTTCGCTCTCTCGTTCTCTCGTTTTCTTGTTCTCTCGTTCTCTCGTTCTCTCGTTTTCTTGTTCTCTTGTTCTCTTGTTCTCTTGTTCTCTTGTTCTCTTGTTCTCTTGTTCTCTTGTTCTCTTGTTCTCTTGCTCTTTCATTTCTTGAGGACATCCAAGTGCTAGTCCCTTTTTTACAGACACGCACTGACAAAATGCAAAACATGTAAAAGCAACCAAAAACGGTCTATATTGTGTGTGTTAAACTGCCATGAGCGCTGGCTTTTGTATGAGAGTGAGTTTGCGTGCAAAAATGCTTATTGTCAATGATAGCCCTCAGCCTGTCGACGCATTCACAAATCACTCAAACGACTGTTAATCTTGGCCAAAAGTGAGCAGGCAAAAGACAAACAAGTGTCCCTAATTCACTATTTCACTGACCACACTACATTTCAGAGTATAGCTGATATATACGTGTATGTATTTGGAAATGAAAAATTGAGGCAAACAACATTGATAAAGTATAAAAAGCATCCAGGCTTGGTACAGAGTGGATGCAATCATCGTTTGCTCAGGCATTCTAACCAACGGCACCGATTGGAAAAGCATTAATTGTCCTGCAAAACAAAATTTGGAATTTGCATGGATGTATCCATTTTCATCCACAGTATTGACATTTAAAAATACAATTGAAGCATGGGTAGGCCTGCTTCAATTTACTAACATTCAGACATTGACACCCACAACAAATTATAAAACATGTTTGGCGTGTTGAATATTTTGCACTATCCATTGGCAACTAAAAATAAATACGCAGCGCTCCAGTCAGCGAGACTTACAAAAATACGCGCCAGAATAGCTACCCGTGATTTATTTTAAAGGCAACAATGGCTGCATCAAAGTCACAACAGACGAACCGCCACCAGAACCATCTTGTGATGCTTGTGAAATTAAATTATTGCACGTCGTCCCACATTTTTCTCCCTCTATTTTCAGCCAAGCTGAAAATCGACACAGCTTTCTTTTATCCTTTATAACTGTCCTCTTAAGCTTTATATGCTGCGCACAAAAGAGCGTGCTGTCTTTTTTGCCATTCAAATGGAGGGATGCACATTTTCTGTCTGCTTTTTATTTTTGATTCATTTTGTACTTTTTATAGACAAATGTTCAAAAACGCTCCAGTCAACTGGTTTTACGAATAAATAAAACTGCGCTTGCTTGAACAGCGATATTTTAATAAACAGGTGTTGTATTTTTTGAGCGACCATAGGCTTATTTAGGCTCATTGAATGCCCAAAGTTGTGGCAACGATACACCATCGAATGCAACAGTGCTATGGAAGGTTGAACATCCGCGGGAATAAATAAAAAATAAATTGCACACCAATTCTAAGCAAATATCTACTTTCAAGCCGACTGCACATTATCAATTATTCTTCCCTCATTTTTTTGGCCAAGAAAAAAACGCTCAATGTGATACTGCTCTTTCTATTTCTTTTCTATTTCAGTGCTTTTTCTTCCAAGGTCGCTTCTTTTTACGCAGCTGTTAAAAAGGCAGGCGATTCTTTAAGTCAAGCACCAGCGTGAATAGTCGAGCAAGCAAAAAAAATAAATGAAGTAGTGGTGTCTGATGCTGCGGCCAACTCTTAAAATATTCTGCGTATCCAGCCAGAGCCAGAATTATAAAAGAGAGAAAACCAGCCACATGAAAAAATATATTCTCTTTATCTCTTACACATTTTATTTAATAATTAGCAGCAACCAAAAATAACCCTATTTTTTAAAAGTTCACACCGCGTTTTTAACAACGCTTTCCACACCCATAAATAATATCTAACATGTGTTTCAAGCTTTGCTACTATATCTTGCAGGGTTTTATGCCTGGTTTTTACACAACGTATTAACTGTGCATGGAATTACCATTGTTGTACCGGTGCCTTTAGAGAGACATGGCAAACGCAACATTTGTCACGGCTTTTCTAAAGGTGCGCATGCTTTTGCACTTGAAATACCAGTTTTAGCTGTACATTTCTTTTATCAGCCCTGGCACTACATCACTTACAAACATACTCTACAATTGCAAGATATTTTGGCAAAGCTCATACTCATTTAGATATTTACATTCACATCCAAATAACTCAACAGAACAGAACAGAACAGAACAGAACACAACACAACACAACACAACACAACACAACACAACACACTAGTACAAGATAGAACAAGTCAGCTCATATTTTAACAAGTACCCTTTCCAACAAGTACACTCTCTAGCAGATAGACCAGCACACCAGCACATCATCAAACCAGCACACAAGCAAACAATGAGTTCAAAGCGTAATTCGATGCTCTTACCCACCACCTCAAAAAACACTGACACTACGAGACCATCTTCTAGAATGTCGCCCTTAAATCCAAATGTTCCTCAGAGGGCCTCGGCCAGTAGCACATCTACAAACACCGCCACCACTACGCTTGCTGATAGAATGGCAAGCCTTGCACATAAGAGGCCAGTGGCCTCTTTGCAGAATGGCTCGTTGTCTGCAACCGCGCAGAAAATAAATACAAAGCCGGTCATCTCTTCTGAAGCATATGCGAACATGTCATTGGCTGCCAGAATGGCAATCCTGGCACCCAAGA